AGACTCATGTAATGGTACAAGATCCCAATGATGAATGTAACTGTATTTTATACCGAAAATGTACCAATAAAAGAATTTAAAAAAAAAAAGAATTAAATTTTGAGGCCAGGGATTTAGCTCAGTGGTTCCACTGCCTGCCTCGCAGCACAAGGTCCAGAGTTCGATCCCTGATACCAAAAAAAAAAGAATTAAATTTTGTTCATTTACAATTAAATAAGTTGTAGTAAAAAAACAAAGGCACTAAGTATTTAAAACTCATCACTTCCTAATTGTAGTACTGTAGCTTGCCACCAACTGTCCTCTTGAGATTGTTTGCAGCTACTGTTTCTGCACACAAAAAAATTCTATAATAGTGTGTCTCTCCAAGTGTCTCCCCAACTCTGCATTCAATGGCATCACGTTGGTAGCTCAAAACTGGCCTCAGTGGAGTATTTATACATAGGAATCCACAAATGCTACAAATGAGGACTTGACTTATTTTACTGATTGTCTAGACATAAGTGATGGAGAAAATTCGAATAACACAGATTAAACTTCAAAGTGTGTTAAGCTGGGCATGGTGGTGGCACATGCCTGTAGTCAGCTACTTGGGAGGCTAAAGGAAGGGAGGATTTCTCTTTCCTTTTTTTTTTTTTTTCTTTTTGAGTCAGGGTCTCACTCTGTAGCCCAAACTGGCCTTGAACTGTCCGCAATCCTGCCTCCTCAGCCTCCTGAGTGCTGGGATTGCAGGCATGGACCACCATACCCACCAAGGGAGGATTTCTTGAGTCCAGGACTTTGAGACCAGCCCAGGCAACATATCGAAACTCCATATGAAGAAGCCAAAGGAAAGAATGAAAGAAATTTTAAAATGTGTTTATGTTTAGCCATTACATTGAGGGAGAAATGATGAAATATTCTTCCAGTATTCAAAAACTGTTATGCAATTCATCAGAAGTCATTCTCATCATTGCCAAATGAGTTCCAATAAATGTCTTCATTGTTTCTCTTGCCTTGCTCGTCAATGAATACAAAAATATCAACCAATAGCCGTGTTGGAACTACACTGATTTTCAGTCACAGCTGTAGCTTGCTCTCTGATACACAAGCTCTACTAAAATCAACAAAAGCATTTTGTGAGAATCAATTGGCAAAATAAAATTCAATAGTAAAGAATATTCACCCTCTAATGGAGGGTGGGGTTTGCAAAGGAGCAGAACTCCCTCCATCCATCCCCTGGACACTCTACCTTCTGGTGCGGGAAAGCCTGCCTTTCCCAATTCTGTTCTGTTTGAAAGAAATGCATGGGAACAATAAGGAAAAAAAGAATATTCAACACTTTCGTAAACTGTATGCTACCCATTCATCATATCAGTGACATTTATAGCAAACTTTCATGTATATAGTATATTTCAAACGCATTCCCTCCTAATTTATCATCAGAGTACTGCCCAGAGCTGAAGATCTAAAGTGCTAAAAACTTTTTTTCCTAGCCTATAAGACTAAGAATGCAGTTAGATGGAATTGTGTAATTTAGAGACCTGGGCTGGGGATGTATTTAGTGATAAAGTATTTGCTTACAGCGGGTTCAATCTCCAGCACCACAAGGAAAAAAACATGATGATTTGCTTCACCCTGTTCCAAAAAAAAGAAGACTCTTATGTGAATGCAAACTTTTCCTTCACCCTAGCAACCCTTCCACGAGTGACCAAGCAGAGTGGGCAGAGAACTTTGTATGAATAAGAGAACAAAGAAGTCCTAATTACTGCAAAGGAAGAAATTTCAACGCATATCCTCCTGATGAGATAACCAAAGAATCATTTGCTCAGATGAAGAATAAGCATTAATTCTCCAGGGATAGGGTCATGAAGACGCAGCTGGTCCTGGGTCTCACTGCCCGTTATACATGCTTGGCCATCTCTCATCTCCTACCCTGGAGCCTGCCCCCCTGCTGCTCTGAAGCCCACATGGCTTCTTTGTTCACTGTCTTTTTCCATTCCAAAAGCTTTGCTCTTCTTTTTACTACAAAACAGCTAGCTCCAGGAAACAAAACCTTATAGTCCATTAGCAAACTCAGAGGGCTTCAGGGGCCAGATGTTCTCTGTCTAAAATGCACTCAAATGCAAACTTTTAAAAATACAGTGGACCCTCAAGTTACAACTGGACTGACATATGAACAGCTTGAGTTAATTAGGTTAATGAAAGATTCATCTGCCTCTTGTGTGCCCAGGTAAACATCCAGATCTCAGCTGTATTGACTTACAACCAACTTGAGTTACATCCAGCCCTCAGGATCCGACCGAGTTTGTAAGTCAAGAGTCCACAGTACATGCATGTCAAACAAATTCTGTCTATAGGGAAAATTAGCCCACAGGCTGCCAGTGAATAAGCTCTGAGTATAGTCTTTGAAGGTGACAGGGTGGTAGTTGGATGTGATGAAAGAAACACAGGCATTTGAAGACAGAAAAACCTGGGAGTCACACTGTCTTAAGTGTGACATTGGATAAATTACCAAATATCTCTCTAAACCTTGGTTTTATCATTTGTAAAGATGGAGATTATCCCACCCAATCCATAGAGTTGCTACGAGAAATGAATGTAGAATAGATGAACACATCAACAAATAGAAGATGAGTGTTCTGGTTGTTTCTTTCTGTTGAATGGCCCAAGGGAACCTTAAAGATCAGCAAAGACTGGTACCCTAGGGAATTAATCTTTGATGTTGGAACTCAGGGTGCAAAAGCATATGGTGATGTAGGCATCTGAGGAAGCACACCAGGCATAGCCCCCACAACCAAGTAAGTATCTGTGTACTGACTCACATACAAGACATAAGAAAAGGATCATAGAAAATGTGCTTCTGCTACAAAGCTATAAGCAAAGGTAATAAGGAAAGATAGAACCCCATATTTTACATTTAGGGAGGGGTGCTAGGGTCTATATTTCCTTCCTCTCCAACCCTGAAATAAAACTCTAGTCAGGACTGTCAGTCACTGGGAGATGTTTCCTTTGTCCCTACTGCCCACGCCCTGCTTTCTAGCTCTACAGCAGAGCTCAGGGGTTGTTGCCTCAGATGTGGGAGTTTTTCCCAGCCTTCCATGGAGCCTACTGTTTTTCAGAGTCCATCACAGAAATGCTTCATATGACTCGTTACAATTTCGACAGTATAAGAAATCTCCTGCCTATATTCATAAGGTCCATATGATCTGAGTGAAAGCAACAGCAGCAAATATGAAAGATAATTTGTATAGAACATAGCAACTGACTTTGAAGGAAATATTTGGCATTGAAATTTTGCAGACAAAACTAAGAAGAATCTTGCAACCTTATTCTTAGAATCTGTATAGCCCACCAATGCATAGAGAAAGTTTGAAAGACAGTATCTTTCAGGCTGTGTTCATTTTGAGCTCTTCTGTGGAAGCCTATAAAACATAACAATATGCTATCCACTTTAGAATGTTATCCATAGTTATACTGGCTCAGCCTTAAAAGGATTGCTAGACCTTGGTGCCTACTTTATTTCTCAAAATAGTTTCTATATACCTTTGCTTCTGTGTTTGACCAATTAAGGCCCAATTTTTTCTGTCAAATAACATAGGCCAAGATTTTTTTTTTTAGCATAATTGGTGTAATACAAAGAAAGCATGAGTAAGAAGCCAAAGAATGGAGCTGCCTTCCAGTCCTTTGGATGAGCAAATTCCCAGAAATGTTGGGAATTGCCGGAAATGCCTGGTTGTTAATGCAGCTAGCCATGCAGATTCTTGTTGGCTAAAAGCCAGAGAGTTCCCACTCTATTCTGTGACAACTGTACCCTGGGGAGCAAGGCCAGTTCCTCCAAACCAGCAGCTGTGTGACAGAGCATGAGGATCAGGCTGTGGCAAGGATGATCTCAGGGCATTTCTGCTATGGCAGTGTGCCTTCTTCATTAAGGAGCTGTCTATAAAAGTGAGATTGACTTTTCTTTGTACACCCTTCACATGCTAGTCCTGCCTGAAATTATAGATTTTCCTCTCCTGAAGGCAGGACTAAGCTATTTTTGCATCTTTCTTTTTCACACATCATATCACCCTGTTGCCTAACTCAAAGGGGGCACTGTATAAGGGGTTGTTGAATTGAACTGACCAATTATACCCAAACCTAGCAAAAATCCCTCTCATTATATTACACAGAGTGGTATGATTCCTTTGGTGAAAGTTAGAAAAGACATTTGAAATAGTGACTTGACTCATCAAATCTTCTCCTTGATCCTATAAAATTTATGTGGATTTTTCAGAGTTGAGTCTGAGGCCTTTCAGGATACAGAGCAATCTGCTCTTAGGGAGAGGAATTTGGGTGACGTGTGGAGGGTTTCTGTGCTTTCTGCTTTCCGTTCTGGCATGGTGTGCAGTGAGAAGCAGGAAGTACAGTCCCTGGGGTTAAAGGAATAATTTGTTCACATAGAGCTCTGGAAAACCACCTCCTCTAACTTTGTAAGGAAAAAATATTGGAACATAGAACAAAACAGCCCAACAGTCGCATTCCCAGAATATTTGAAACGGTGCTCATCTTTTCACAAAGGCTCTGTGCATCCACAAAGGGAAAACAAACCCTGCACGTTGGTCTTACCAGGACACTGCCCCTCCTGGCTGTGGGGCCAGCACATCCCACACAGTGCCCATCAGAGACGCTATGGAGACATCACACAGGTACCCCCTCCTTGAGTCTGTCTCCAGGTGGCTCCCTGAATGGCAGGTGCCCTGCCTTTTGTATACCACATATATATGTGCACCTCCTGAACCCAGCTATAAATAAATGGCAAGCTGTCATGTTCAGACAATAACAACATGTAAGAAAGGAAAATGATCACTGACAGAAAAAGATAAACCTGTTCTTCATCCAAGATGGCAGAAGCTCTTTGTTTGAAATAAACACCTTTAGCTTTTTCATGGAAAAAAAAAATTTCTTGTTTATTATTTACAGCTATTGCTTCATAAATCCTTTTCATTTAGAAAGAGACTAGGCTTAACACAGCTTATATTCACAGTTAAGTAGACTCATCACTTCAAATGGGGCTTCTTATTAAAAGCCATTTCTTCTAGCATATTTTAAATTTGCCTAAAAATGATGACCCTGGGGCCTTGATAAATTAATTGAGAAGTTTCTCTAAGGTAGCTTTGGTGGTTTTGTTAAGACATTTACTTTAAGAGTAGCTGTCAGAATTTATCAGTAAATTACTTCATATATTCTTGGCATTAAATTTTTCCCCATAAAGAATAGTATAATTTCTTTCCTCCTAGTAATGAAAAAATGAAACTGTCTTCAAACATTTCTATATTGGGAACTGGCCCTTGTGTCAGTAATTTTAAGAATGCACCCATCGGAAAGTATAAATTATAAATATAAGGCTCAGAAAAGGGAGATGCATTAAAGACCAAGATAAACCAACAATCACAATTTCAAATAGGGGAGAGGATTGTTCACTCCAGAGGGGAAGGGAGAAATGGGATGGAGCCAACATACAGCTCAACTAGTAAGGAAATCCACAGTCCCTGGTACTCTGGTGAACCCTGGCACTGTCTGAAGGAGGCACAATCTTGGAAATTTTAGTTTGTCCACTCACTAGTAAACAAGAAGTAGGTACTGGTAACGGTACTTGGAAACACTTCCTCTGGAATGTATGACTTTCCATGTTTCAGTCTCAGAGTCACCGCAGGACATGCTGAGTCAGATGGGCAGGTGGGAGATTTGTCCGGACTCCATATGGAGATGGTGAGGTAGAGCCAGGCCTCACAGGTGTGTATGTACTGTGCTTTCAAAGCATCTGGCATCAAGACCTGTGTCATTTCTCTTTCTGTGGATAAAGAGAGCATTGAATCATCATGAAGCCATGAATTAAACTGGGAGACCAACTGGCAATTATCAGGTGCTTGTGAGTGGGGAGCACCTCACCCGAATATACTGGCCCATAAGCTACTCACTGCTCTTCCAGGTACTCAGGAAGTTAAGTCACTGAAAATAGTAGTTTTTCTGGATTTTTGGTTTTGTCTAGGTTTGACCAGGTGGCAGTGGCTGTACATACTATGTTTTAAGGACCTCTGTATGGTCACATCTGGCCCAAGATACTATCTCCCCAGGGATCAAACAAAAAAACCTGAACTTCTCAAGTAAACTAGGTCCAAATTGTGTAAGGGAAGAGAGAACAGTTCAGGCCACAAACATGAGCAAACTGACCTGACCTTCAACAGCACATAGTAAGCAGAAATTCAGACATAGTGATGTCCCAGTTGCTACACTTGGAAAGAAGCAGCTTGCTCAGAAAAGCAGCTGCTGAAAACCTCACAAATTCCAACTGCCACCTTGCATCTAGAGACAGCCCCCCTATACCCCTGAGGAGGTCAGTCTGCCCACTGGCTCTCTGGACTATATTACTAAAACCAAAGTCACAGACTCACAGAAGTTTACACCTTCGATTTGATACACATACTTTTTTTGTTTCTGTGTTCAAGTGAGATAAGGATGATGTATCAACACTTTAAATGGTGTGTTCTTTTTAAAGCTATTTTACACTGAAGTAGTAGTAGATACATCATCTGAACAACAGACCTACTAAATCAGTTTTTCTGCTAGTGTGGTCCAGAGACTCTCTGCCTTAGATCCTCTGGAAGGCTTTCAAAATGCAGATTCCTGTGCTCTACCCTGAATCTGTCAGATCAGAATCCCTGAGGGTAAGGCTTGGGAATATGAGTTTGTCATTGTTTTTTCTTTTGCTCTTTATATTAAGGACATCACCTGTGCATTCAACTTGAATGCACAGAGAGGAGCAAATGGTGGGGTAGTTTATTGCTAAATCTGATTATTAACCATCCTGATGATTGTTATGGTGTTTTTTTGCTTATAGTACAAGGAAACACTGCTTACTGCAGCCACTGATAGTAAAATATCTGCTGGACCTTTCCCATATGTGGGCATTTTGTGTCTTACAGACAAAATCTAGAAAAATAATCAACAGTTTTAAAACCTTTTTAAAAAGAGAAACAAACACACACTTTAAAAGAACAACAAAAAACTTGCAATTCTTCTCCAAAACCATATCTTAATCAGGTTTTCTGCTTTGCATTCTAAGTGACTGGAAGTAATTGCCAGGAACTTAAGGGGAACTTGAACAAAGGAACCGCCTTAAGGCACCATTTGAAACCTTGGGTCCTGCCATGCTGTCATCCTTCTGTTTGAAAGTGTGGGAGACACTGCTTAGACCTGCTTTGTTTCTTTTCATAGATCATGCAACAGATGAGTGACCACCGCTATGACAAGCTCACTGTGCCTGATGACATGGCTGCAAACTGTATATATCTAAACATCCCCAACAAAGGACACGTCTTGCTGCACCAAACCCCAGAAGACTATCCAGAAAGTGCAAAGGTGAAAAAACAGCTTTCCTCCTGGCCACTGCTGCTCAGTAGGCCTCCCTGGGGATTATTTTATGATGGAGTGACAAATGGGGTCTTCCTTTTCTCCTATACTCGTGAAGCATTAAGAAAGCAGAAAGGATATTAAGGGCACAGAGAAGGTTTCTTTAACTCAATTTTCTCTTTCATGTCATCAGTCACTAATGCATTCACAGCAGTTGAGACAATCACACATGGTATTCAAAGTTTTTCAAATAAGTACTCTAATCACTCAAGTCTGTGCCCAGCTCTGATTAAATATACCTTTCCACATCAACACTCATTAGGCATAAAAACCTACAATGAGATGGTCAGCTGTTCATTGTTTTCTGGAAAATCTGAGCTACCCCTTAGTAGCTTCTTAAGGCGGAGACAGATGAATGACCCAGAGAGGTGTGTGCTCATTGTCAAAGCTAGGAGAAAAGGGACTACGTATCCTAGATGGTGAGAAAATAGAGCAGGACGAAATATTGCACATTTGCAAACCAGCAAGCTGGTCCCACCAGGAGTCTCTGCATTAGTGTTCGAACAAGGGATTTGTCCCTGGATCTGGAATTCTTTCTTGGTCTGAGAAAATCTCCCTTGTCTCTCAGGGTACTCTGCCAGTATCATATGTACACCTTAGTAATTTCAATTTTATCTTACCAAGAAGATTGAACAGTGTTCAATATGGATCTCTCAAGTGCATGTCTTCTAGGCACTTCAACTCCTTCATCTCTGCCCAGAGAAATATTTATGTGAACCATTACAGAAGAGTTTTTATTACCACTGACTTTTGCTTTGAAAATATTAGGAACATTACAAACACTTTTAAAATATGCAATACTATGTTGTTACTAGATTTACCCTCTAATTTTGGTTACCCTCTTAGCAGATAAAAAGAGAAGAGTAGGGAAAATCTATAGATAATTTCTCTCTATTTCCATGGCCAAAAATGTGAGCCTGCGGAAAATGTAAAATTCCTGACCTCAAACTGGGGCTTAATAGTGGATCTCACACTCCAAGTGCATCAGGGTTGTTAAATCTGGACCCCCCATCACAGAATTGCCTGACTACCAGATGATCAGTAACTGCTTCTTCATTCAACCTGTCTGTCAACAATATCAGTAACATTGATAACACCCCTGTAGTGATTATTAATAACACCCTTGTGGATGGCTGATGACTGAGGGCTTCTCTGCTGCCGGGTGCTGTGCCAAGCAAGCTACAGGCATTGTCTTGCTTTGACCTTATAACAGTCCTATTTCAGCCTTATAGCGAGGTAAACAGGCACAGCAGGGCTGTCACTTAAGTGAAGTCATAGTTTAAATTGACAGCACTGGGTTTGGAACCCAGTGCCAACTGGTTCCAGCACTATTAATTAACCACTGTACTGTATTTTAAGCAGCCAACCCCCCCAAAAAAAGCATGGTAGATTATTTTTAGGCAGTATGTTTTCAAGTGATTTTGTTTTTAAAAGTGTATTTTCTTTGATCGCAGAAAAAAATCTGTTAATTTGAAGTTTTGAAACTCGCTTCATTAGTGTTGAAAGATGCTATAAAATTCACACCTATAATTTAAAAGCAGTGTGAAATAATTCACTTAAATTATACTTTGTCAGATTTTTCCAGTGGTTGCACTAAGGAAAGAAACAATAAAGCATAGTTGAGAGGGCTTTCAAGTATGAAGAAAGAGAGAGAAGTGTTCAAACTGAACACATGGCCATTGACGGTTTTATCACTTAATCTAGCAATGACAATAGCAGAGTTAAGGCATTTGCTAACAACAACCACATTTCTGACACATCTTCAGCTTTGAGGTTAAAGCATAGAGCTAGTGGTTAACCAGTTGCCACCAGCTCTATGGGGAGGGCTGTGAGTGTGTGTGGCAGAGGTTACACGTGTATTGGGGTTAAATGAGCGAAAAACTTAGATCCCCAAACTGAATACTTCTCCTCACCTGGGGGTAGTGAAACAGGCAGAAATGTAATCCTTCTCTTCCTTACCCCCATTCTCATTGTAGGTTTATGAGAAACTGAAAGACTATCTGCTGATTCCCGTGAGCATGTCTGAACTGGAAAAGGTGGATGGGTTGCTCACCTGCTGCTCGGTTTTTATTAACAAGAAGGTGGACTCCTGAGCCGCAGACTCCCTCCCTTGTAGCCGCTGAGATGGCCCAGGCCAGGCTGATGACTCTGTACCCACTCCCGTTGTTTTTCTTGACAATCTACTGTGCCACTGTGCTACTAACTCTTGTTTACAAAAATTTAATTCTAAGTTTAATTGCTTCTTTTTCTGAACCCTCATCCTCCTTCCCCTCACAGTGGTACCTAAGCTGTGATATGCTACATGAATTAAGCAACCTAGAAAATATAGAACTAATGAGTCATTGAAATGTGATTAATATTAGTATGGAAACACTCATTTTAGTGTTCGTATTATCAGTGTGAAAATCGTTTAGTTGCCGTATATTCCTAAGAATGTCTTCTTGATCAGTCCGATAAGCTAGCTTTTTTCCTCTGTATCATAAATCATGTTTGGTTCCTGTGAAATTCCTGATCCAGTGATTCTCCCCATTTTTCTCTTTTTTTTCTTCTGAATTCTAAAAACCTTTTTTCCAAGTACTTTCTTTTGCCTTTCCCACTTCTATCACAGCCGCCTTGACCTTGGGTAAAACCCAAGGTCTTGCATTCTGGACACCTTCCTGCAGGTCAGCCCTCACTGCCTTCAGTCTCCTCTGCCTCTCGGCAGACACATCTTCTGTCACTGCTACCCCACCGCTACCTCCCCTGGCAGGCCAAACAGAGTGACAAAAATCAGAGTGTCAGTGTTAGCTACACAGAGGCACATCCTCACAGGTTTGCCTGGGAGCTCCAAATTTCAGAAGTAGGGCACCACACCCAGGAAGGTAAATTCAGCACCAGATGGTTGCTAAGGGCTCTTAGATCAAGAACTGCAGAAACATCCCATGGGTACAATATCACAGAGAGCCTCTAAGGCACATTCCATGAATTTTTACCTCATTGCTGTTCATGTAGGACCTGAAGGAAAGACTTACTTTTTTCCTTCAGCTTATTTCTGCTCCCTCTCCCCAACTCACCCTATTTCCAGCTTCCAGTCCTTACAATTATCCTGGTCTCACAAAGTCATTTCTTTCCAAAGAGAGATCTAAAAATGATTATTGATGGTCTGGTGAGAGTCAGAGGGAGCGGCCGGGCCCCCTATAGTCAAGGAGCATATTCAGGAAATGAGCAACTTGGTACCTGAAACCAACCTCAAACAACGGGTGATTCTACTTTGAAATATCCATGAATACTTATTGTGGAATTCAATTAAAACTTCTTTCTTCTCTAGCCTTCAGGTTGCACAGCTTTCAACAGACATGGCTGTCTTAAAAAGAACAATGCCACAGTGAAGGTAGGGATCATTCTTTTACTTAGAATTGAAAGAATCAGGCTAGGGATATGGTACTTTCCAAGAAATGGTGACAGATCGAGGCATGTTATCAAAGCTCCTAGTCATCTCCACCTTTCCTGTGTTTCCTTGTGGCTTGTTGTGTAAGATTTAAAATCAGGGAGACTAAGAAATATTTCTTGAAATCTCACTCTGCTTACCTCTGTGTTTGTAATCAAACCACTATTATGTTGCTGAACAAGAGAGAATTATCTTCACTCATTTTACTCCCCCTCAGCAGATGGAAGCAAGAAGCCTGTGGGAAAATGAAGAAATCCTTAACCACTGTCTGTCTTTTTCATTTACTTGATGATTTTATGCCAGTAATTTGAAGAAATACCGTATCCGCTTTCTCTTCCTTATTGTTTGACTTTAAATTCATATCACATGCAAATATCTAGCAATGTGCCTCCTGTGAATGAACCATATCTTGGTTAGTATCATATTTTGAAACATCTCATCATGAGTGAATAATATTTTTACCAGAGAAAATGAATGTTAGCCACATGCTCAAGTTAATAAAGAAAAGTTGTTCTCAGTAATTAAGGTTGCCCTTTTGGGTTAAATCTGGCCTTACACTGGCAAAAAGCAGAAATTCTCCCTGGGAGAGCTCACCAACTCAAAAACAACCACAAGAAAAACAATCCAATCAGCCAGTTTAGGCTAACTGGCATATAATTTTCAATAGCATTCCTTCTGTCATCGCTAAAATTAAAGGACTGTTCTGTATTACGTTTAGTTAACTGCAAATGAATAGATTTTCCTTTTTAACAGTTTATTCTGCCAAGGGCAGTTTTATATTTTCCCTTTCCTTTGCTTCTTTGCCTTTCCTTCTCTTTTTCTTGAGAAATCACATAGATGCTTTGTGCCTCTTTTACATCTTATTCTGCATTGCTGTGTCATCTACCAGGATGGTTTCTTTTAACTCCGCATTTAATATGAAGATGTGAAAACCTAAAATATCTGCAGAAGAATAGTATTACTTTTTTGATGTTCTCTCATCAGCATAATGTTATCTTTGAAAAAGAAAGATACCCATTACATAGATTCCTCTTTGTCCACTGTGACTTGTAAAGATGGATAAACTAACAGACACTGGTTTTGGACATTATAAAAACATGAGGAATTATTAAGTAAATAAAAGTTGAGTCAGAAATATTTGGTTAGTATGATTCAATTTAATAAAAAGACAATGTAGGGCAAATACATTATTAGCATTATTTCTTTAACTATGATGGATTGCTCTGGAAATCAGTGGGCAGATCTCTCTAATGTGTATTGATTGCTTTTTTAAGCTACTGTGAACAGATTACAGTGGCCATTTCTTCATCTTTAAAAGGGAAGTAGTCTATAGATGAATAATATGACTTATGTAGAGTTGCATGTTGGTCTTTGTAATTATTTACTCTTTAACATGCTACAAAGCTCAGACATGATTTCAACATGGTGTTAGATTTGTACAATTTACTTTCCTACCCATCTTGTTCCAGCCAATGTATGGATCCACTCTCTGTGCCAAAACCAGTAATGCCTTTCATGGCCCATTAGTCCAGAGAAGTTCTGTACTGATTTTAGTCTCTTGCTTTCCTAATCCTACATATATATGAATCATGATGGAATAAAGTGTGAGTTGTACTGTGATCGGTGGTGTGCGTCTCTTTTTTTGCGACTGAATCTGCCATGGGGAATGAAGTCATCATTTCTTTGCTATTAACTGTAGGGTAGTTTCTGTCTTGTCTAATAGGCAATAGAATTAGAAATTCTGTACCTATAAATCAGCTGCCATCAAAGCTTAGATTAAAATGATATTTGAAGTGATGCTAAATACTTTAGTCACTTACAAAATATGCATATTATCCATTCTAGGTCAGGATATCTTGATTTGACCTGTGCTTCTCTTGTAAAAGCATCTGTCTCTTATTCCCTTTTACTGCTAACTGTAGTCAGCACATTATGTGGTTCAGTATGGGGGAGTAGAATGATTTTCCTTATGCAAGAGTTTGTTTTATGTTTGTTTTACAGTAAGCATTCTTGAGGAAATTTGAAGATATTTTAAAAATGAGCTTTTTTGCAAGCTTAAAGAGCTGAATTTTTACGTGTAAAAATAGTAACTGCTTGCTATAAAAATAAACCCCCCCAAACTATAAAAAGTAAAAGAAAAAATTACCCAAAATTGTATCACCCAGAGATAACTACTATTAACATTTCAGAGGATATTCACACATCCATGAATAGATATAGATATAAATATGGAATGATCTCCATAATCATACTGTTCTGTAGTCTGTTTTCTTCACTTAGCCATATATTGTGGGCTTTATTTCATCTCAGTAAGTATAGATTTACATTGTCAGTTTTAACAGCCCTGAATATTCCACAATGCAATTGTTGAGGCAGTTCTTTCTTAATTACACAGAATGTTATATCGCAGATGGTCAGTGTGCCCACATTGCTGTTGGCAGGGTATCTTCAGGGTATCACAAATGTGCTGCTTATAAGCTTAGAGCTGGTTCAATCTGGTGTACTCTTACCATAACTGAATGGCACATTGAGAATACTCGACAGATTCACAGAGTAGTACTAAAATTCCCTGGGATTGATCTAATCACATCCTCTTCATTGATGTTGTTGCATTGATTAGTTCTGCATTATCTAGATTGGCATTGGCAATGGAACAAAAAAAAAGTCAAGGCCAGGTGCCACCCCTGTCAACTTGCACTGGGCCCAGCAAGAAAGAGAATTCTCTACCTCCGTACTGAAGTACATTGCTCTTTCCAGAGTAGAAAGGGAGGTCCTCCTCAACAGAAGTCACCAGAGGGTCCCCAACTGATCCTCTGAGCAGTGAGGGAAGAATGATGAAAATATCCTCTCGTGACAAGCTTCAGATTCTAGAAACAGGAATTGTTCTGAGTGAAGAATACTGATCAGCAATAGTTTGAAACAAGCAAGTGCCTTTTTAACAAATGCCCACCCCCACCCTGGCTCCAGGGCAGCTCCTGCCTTTGAGAATTGACCATTTGGAAGGAGCTGGGAAGGACAACTGCATTAGTGCACCAATGATGTGACACCACAGCAGGTAAGATAAAGACCACCAATAATAGTGCTGCGGCAGTTCCCAAGTCATGGAGACCAAACAAGGGATCGAGGTTTGGAAAGAGAGCCCTGGCTTCCACAGATCAAGATAGGGTTACAGGTATTGCTGGCTGAGGCATCGTAAGCAAAAGGCATGGAGGTGGGGAACCATCATGGGTGCTTCAGGAGCAAGTATTTGTTGAGCACTTACTGTGTACCAGTTACCTCTGTTAGGTCCTGGTGACAGTCCCTGCTTTCCTGAGTTTACATAAGGCAAGGAAAATAGACACTAGACAAGTAACAGCATGTGTGGTGAGCATTATGGAAAGAGGCTGCACAAACCAGATAGTAGATGTCAGCAAGTGGACTTGTTTGGCTAGAACATGGGATATATATAAGAGCATAGTGAGACAACATAGGTTAACCCTGCCTGCTAAATTAGGTTCTTTGGACTGAATTTGATGGTCTGTGAGGGTCCTCCAAGGACTTTTGGGTCAGGAAATGATATTATTGGAGCTTGATCTGGCAATATTACGTAGGACAATTGGGAGCTGAGAAAGAGTGGTGTTTCTCTAAGTTTAATTTCTATAAGCTTAATTTACTTAAACATCTCTTCTTATCACAAATGAGAGTCTGAAAGCCAAACAATTAACTCTCTATTCACTGTTCTAAAGAACAGATTCATCACACTTTCCCCTCCCACCTCCAAAGGGATATTTTCAATGCAAATGAGATAAAAGAACAGAAGGGTTCTTTGGAAAAAAGGTATAATGTAAATATCATTATCATCATCATTATCCTCATTAACTCCCATCACAGCACGTTTGGATCCCATCAAAATGTCAGCTTCTATTGGAAACATCAATCACCTGCTCCAGAAATAACTCAGGATTTTCATCATCAATGCCTCTAAGCTGGCTTGATGGCTTCTGCAGTGACTTCACAGGAGACCCTCATAGCCAATATGGCTGCTCTGTAGACATACTTGTATTAGGGAACTTGGTGACCTGGAGTATTCCTGTGTCTGTTCCCCCTGTAAACACATTTCTAACTTAGTGCAAGCTGCCCCACTTATGATACAAGATAACTGGGGTTATCAGGATTTTGGAGAATATTTAAGTGCCAAAGATGTTACTGTCACTATAAATAAATGAAAGATTCAAGCAAGTATGGCAGCAAACCACTTGGTATAATATTGCCTGGACTAAGTTGTGACATGATGCCTAAAAGCAGTGATGAGTCTCCAGATGATGGGAAGCCCCTTCTATTTATAAATAGAAAGTTTCATCACTCTGCTATGAATACGGAGAAAAGGCTTGGGTGTATTTATAGTCCTAAGAAGATAGTTTAGCTTTCTTTTTCTCATGCTAGTTTGAGGTATAAATAACAAAATGGTATATTTTTAGATGTACAAATTGATGTTTTAATATACATATACATTGTGAAATAATCACATCAAGTTAATTAACATATCCATCACCTAACAGTTAATGTATGTATGTCAAGAATATTTAAGCTTTTTCTTCTTTGTAAATTTAAAGTATACAATATGATATTGTTAACTATAACCATCTGATTATATAGTTGATCTTCAGAACTTATTCATCTAACGTGCCTGAAACTTTGTACCTCTTGATTAACATTTTCCCATTTCCTCATCTAAAACTCATTTGTAAATCCCTGTTTGTGGACAGAAGCTTATTAATTAGCTAGAACCCAGAGAAAAGAACTCAGAACAACTCTTCAAAATTAAACTAGAATACCATGTGGTATATATTGAAAATTCCCTCTGCCCCAAAAAGGTACAATTACTGCTTATTTCACATGAATGTGAAAAGTTCAGGAGCCAAACAAGTTCTGACTCCAGGCAACAGTTCGGCTTTGTAGAAATATTAGCTTTTCCACTTCTGGAAGGACCTTGTGGAATAAATACTGATTCATGCATCCAACAGAGGCTTAAAATTCTAGGGCAGGATGTGAACAAAATCATTTGTTATGTTTACAGGGGACAGAGATGAGTGTATGAGATCCCCTGGAGTTAATGCTAAAACAGAAACACAAGGTATTCTTTCTTTTTAAATTTGATAATTATGGGGTGGGGAGAAGGAATGTTGTTAGCAGGGCAAGATGGTAGCAAGGAGTCTGGTAAGAAATAGAATTCACTGCCACTTGGTTCAAATGAAGAAATTTTAATGAGGTCTGAGCACTAATGGTATAAACAAAGAGGAAACAGGACACCCAGAAAACAGTGGTAAGCAGCACTCATACTCCCAGCAGGTCAGGAACAGGAAACTGTGCTACTACATTTGAGATAGAAAATTCAGGACTCTATCGCCAGTTAGAGACCAGTTTCCCACGCGGGAAAGAACTGCTTCAGCCTTTCTCTCTCCTCACTCTCTGATCTGCTGCTTTCTCCATTGGCTGAACACAACTGCAAGATGCTACTGAGAAGAGCCAGGAGTGCCTTCAGTGGGGTCAGCCTCCCAGGGCAAAGAGCCAGCAGAGGAAGGATGCTGAGGGGCCAAAGATATCCACATAAGGCCACTTTGAAATCTGCATGATACCAATACAGAAACGAGTTGTCTATCAAATAGGAAGCCATCATCAATGCTAGGTCATAATATTGGCATTTAAATCATTAATTCTTGGCACATTCCTCAGACGTGCCAGTTATGTGGTCTGGTCCTTCCTCCCTAGACATCAAAAAATGATTGGAGCAGAATTAACAACAATATGAGTGTACACTGCCTGAGGGTGAAAGATCATGAGTCCTGGATCTCTTTATAAGCACTGTGATAATTCTAAAATTAGACTAGTCTCTTTGACACGTGGTATCCAAAAACAGCGAGTTACTTTTTTGAAGCATGCCCATGACCTTCTGGTGACATACAGTTGGAGTCTGGAAAACCTATTTTCTCTGTTTCCTGTTTTGTTTGTACATCTAGCCAGGGGCAAAGCATTTTGATTTTATGCAGTTATGTTGCTCCTGGGGATACCAATCAATTCCTCTTCCCTGAGGATATTCAAGAAGAGACTGAAGGACCATGTGGAAGCGTGGTTGTAGAGAGATTCTCTATCCAGTAACATTTGACAGAGATAACATCAATATCAGGGTATTCCTTTATCATCCTGTTAGTCTACAGTTAGGTCTCAGTGCTGTTTTCAGTCCCAGGACTTTCTTTTCCCCTCTACTATCCCAAACAGAGGCACACTCTTCTCATCTAACAAATAGCAGTAATAAGTGTTCTCCTTCTAGCCTGGCACCATGAAGAGCACCGTGGATCCACTCCTGGTAAAAATTATCGCTAAAGAATAAACATTTAAAGTCTCTGCAAATGATTGTCCATATACACAGCAAATGAAGAAATACTCATTTAAGAAAATCTAAAACTTAGTAGGGTCAGCGACACTGTGCTGTTGGAACCATAGCCGCACCCTTCTCCCCCACTCCCAGCTAAATAAGGAAAAACTCCACTTCAGCCTGGGAGAGCTAAGAATACAAGACTTTCTCTCCCAACTCTATTTTCCCAAGAAAGCACAAGATCTCAGCATTACTCATCCTGTCCCTTTTCCATCTGATGTAGAGACTTGGTCTTGGGCAAAAATGGCCAGGAGGTAAGGACGCCCTTCCTCCATTTAGCTCCTAGTGTGAGATGGAGGCTCTACTTTGAGATCATGGCACCTCTAAGAATAATCGGGCCTTGAACATGCTTGTTCTGGAAAGCCCAAAAGCCCACCCCTACTGCCTCCCCTACACTCCAGGCTGAGCAATAAAACAAGGATGCCCCTCAGAAAGAAGTGGAGCATTCTCTCTGCTCCCATTTCTGGAGTGATGGCTCAAAAATTTTGTGCAGGGGAGAATCAAGATATAGAAGAAAGAGCTCCAAAGCCCTCCCCCAAAGAACTGGGTACATTTGCAATGCAGTGTGAAGTTCAAGTCTAAGGCTGCTCTCAAAAACAGTGGAGGTCAGAGTAAAAGGCAATTGAAAGGACATTAGTGAGCCTTTAGATATAAATTACAGGTATCCATATCACAAAGAAAGAAGTAAAAACTGTCTCTATTTGCAGATGACATAATCTTTATATGACAAATCCTAGGGAATTTAGTAAAAAATGATTAACACCAATAATAGATCAGCAAGGTTTTAGATCAATATTTAAACAATGTATTTCTAAACACATAATGAACAAACCAACATGAAATTAAGAAAACAATTCCATTTACAATATCATCAGAAAGAATAAAATACTTAGGAACAAATTTAGTAAAAGATGCAAATCTGAGGGCTGGGGATTTAGCTCAGTGGTTCCAGTGCCTGCCTCTCAAGTGCAAGGTCCCGAGTTCGATCTCTGGTACAAAAAAAAAATGCAAATTTTACTCTCTGAGAATAATAAAACATTGTTAAATGCAATTAAAGACCTAAACAAATGGATAATTTCTTGTGCTCATTCATTAGAAGCCTTATATTAAGATGGCAATACTTCCCAACTTGATAGGCATATTCAATGCAATCTCTATTTGAAACCCAGCTGACTTCTTTATAGAAATTGACAAGCTACCCCCAAAATACATGTAGAATTACAAGGGTTCCCAAATAACCAAAGCAATTTTGAAGAAAAGGAGAATAAAACTGGTGAAATCACCCGTTCCAATGTTAAAACTTCAAGAGTGACAGCAAACAAAACAATGTGATATTGGCACAATGTGATAAGGGCTGACATATAGATGAAGGGAATAGAATTGAGAGCCTAGAAATAAACCCATATGTCTAAAATCAACTGATTTTCAATAGGGGTAACAAGATTGTTCAGTGAAGAGAAAAAATAATGTTTTCAACAGATGCTTATAGGACAACTGGATATTCACATGCAAAAGAATGAAGTTGGACCCTTCCCTCATATCATAGACAGAAGTAATACAAAAGGATCAAAACCCTAAATGTAAGAGCTAAAATATAAAACTCTTAGAAGAAAACATAGTGGCAAATCTTCATGACCTTGGATTTAGCATTGGATTCTTAAGACACTAAAAGCAAAAGTAAAAAAGAAAAAAGAAATTGGACTTCTTTAAAACTAAAAGCTTACTGGGCACAGTGGCACACACCTGTAATCCCAGCTACTGGGTGAGGAGGAGTTAAAGGCCAGCCTGGGAAACTTAAAAAGATCCTGTCTCAAAATCAGAAAGGACTAGGGATGTTGCTCAATAGCAGAGCAGTTGCCTAGCATGCATGAGGCCCTGAGTTCAATCTCCAATATTGAAAAAAAAAAAAAAAAAGTGAGTGTTTCAAAGAACAACATCAAGAAAATAAAGACAACTCACCAACAGAAGAAGACATTTGCAATCCATATAGATGATGAGGGACTTATACCTAAAGTATATAAAGAACACCTCTAATTAAACAGTAAAAAAAAACCACCAAGCTCACAAATGAGCAACGGATCTGAAGAGACATTTCTCCAAAGAAGGTATACAGATGGCCAACAACCACATGAAATGATGTTTGATACCATTAGTCACCCGGGATATGCAAATCAAAATCACTTCACACCCACTATAATGGTTAGAATCAAAAAGTCAGTTAGTAAGCATTGGCAAGGATGTGGAGAAATCAAAATCCTCATATATTTCTAATAGAAATGTAAAATTTAGCCAATTTGGAAAAGTCTAATGGTTTCTCAAATGCTTAAACATTGAGTTACCCTATGACAGCTATTCCACTCCTAGGTATGTACCCCCCCAAAATGAAAACACAAAACATGTACACAAACTTCACACAAAAGTATGTACACGAATCCTTTTAGCAGCATTATTTAAAAAAATAATCAAAAGGTGGAAAGAATTCAAATGTAGACCAGTTGATGAATGGGTAAACAAAAATAGCCATACAGTGGGATATTATTCAGCTATAAAAAGGAATGAAGTCTGAACAAGCCACAACATGAATAAACCTTTAACACAATATGCTAAATGAAAGAAGCTAGAATGAAAGACCACATATTACATGGCTCCATTTATATAAAGTGCTCAGAATAGGCCCAAAGAGAGAAAGTAGATCACTGGTTACTTAGGAAGACGGGAGGATAAAGGCAATGATAGCTACAGGATGGGGGGCTTCTTTTTGTGATAGTGAAAATGTTTAAAAATCAACGGCGGTGGTGATTACAGCTGTGAATATGCTCGAAACCACTGAATTGCACATTCTACATGGGGTAAACTGTTTGCTGTATGAAATAGCTCCACAAAGCCATTTTTTAAAATGACAGTAATAATACTCTTTGTCCTCATGTCTTCAAATGTGGTTGAGAGCATCAAATGAGAGGATTTATATAAAAGTACTTGGGACTCTATGCACTGCGGCACAAATATAGCCTATTATTTATCGAATAGGATTAATCAGCTTTTCATCAACACCTGTCACTACAAAACTCAGAAGCTGTCATTCCTGAAACTACCTTCGCCCCAATTACAATTCCTTTTCTTCAGTGGTTAAACCACATTGACAGAACCCAACTCTAGAAATAGTGCTGCATAATAACTGCTTATGGAATGCTTCTTGCCATTACAGCCTTTTTAAAACAGAAAATAACATTTCTTTTATATGTTTTTCTAAAACTCAAGTGTATGCAATTATCACACATGCCAAGTTCCTCATCCCATCAACCCTGGAACCCGCATGGTTCTCAGAAGCCTTTATCAACTGGCAATAGTCCCTTCCTCTCGTGTTCTCAAACCCAGCATCGCAGTTTAGTGATTATTGTAGGCCCTTGAGTTGGGGGGTGAACAGCAGTGTGAATGTGCAAAAGGCGCTGAGAGTGACATTTGCTGGAAGTGGGAGTTTGAGGGCAGCATAGACAGAAGCTTGTCTAACTGAACTAGCCGTTCTGGTGATGCTTTCTTGGTGTGGCATGACATAGCCCATCTCACTCTCCAAAGAGCCAAATGACCTTCCCTTTTTATACAATTGTATAGCTTTAGACCACAGCCACCCTATATTTGGTTTGCAAACAACTGATGCCTCTGTCTTCCCCAAAATTCTGTGAATAGTCTTTAACGATAATAACTCCTGTAGCTCTCCTGTACTTTTTTCCTTTTTTCCTTCCTTCCTTCCTTCCGTCTTTCCTTCCCCACCTCCTCTAGTGCCCCATGTAAATGTTATGGACCTCTTACCCTATGAAGAAGACAAAACTGAGGACTAGAGAGGCTCAGTCACCAAGCAAAGTCACACAGCGAGTGAGCATGGAACTGTGCCTCTACCCGTGGTTGTGTCTGGCAGCACAGTCCTCGTCTTCAGCACTATCCTATGTTGCACATTGAAATCAGGTCCCCTGTTAAATTTTCTAAATTATTACACATTAAGGCATTTTCAGAAGGTATACAATGTTTTCCCACCTCTGCTGCTCCACATTAATGTATATCTGAGTGTACATATTTACCTTTTTTCCCAGATCCCCTTGATTTACCTTCAACAACGAAGGAAATCTGGATATCCGCGTTTGCGTTCAGATTTTGCAGAATAATTGTGGAGTGGCGGCGCCCTCAGGTGGTCTTTCGTGTTTCTGCAGGCGGCCTCATGCGGAGAAGTAAGCATAAGGGGGCCACTGCCCACTGGGTGGACTTGGTGGACACATGAGGCCTTAGGAACTCTGGGGAAGGGAAAGGAAGAGGCTGGCTCAGCCCCTTTGCAGTCTGACTCAGTTCTCGTTGTCCCAGCCCTGCCTGCAAAAAATCCACTGACAGCACTGCAATGGCTCTCAGTGGATTCCCATCACTGCTTGGTGTATTAGTCTGGGGTCTCCAGAGAAACAAAACTAGAACTCTTGTGTGTGTGTGTGTGTGTGTGTGTGTGTGTGTGTGTGTGTGCGTGTGCGCGTGCGCGCGCGTGCGCGCATGCTTTGGTACCAGAAATTGAACTCAGGACCTTGCACTTGGGAGGCAGGAGTCGGAACCACTGAGCTAAATCCCTGGCCCTTGTGTGTGTTTACTATAAGGAATTGGTTCATGGAATTTTGGAGGCTGAGCAGTCCAAGTTCTGCAGTCAACAAGCTGAGGATCCAGGAGAACAAATGGTACAAGTCCCAATCTGAGTCCAAAGGCACAAGACATGACTCAGCCCAAAGATAGACAGAGAATTCTTCCTTAATCTGAACTTTAATCTATTCAACCCTCAACAGAATGAAGTCTACACACATTAGTGGGGTGTGGGGGGCAGTGATCTACTTCACTAATCCAAATGTAATCTCGCCCAGAAACACTCCTCTCACAGACACACTCAGAAACCCTGTTCAGCCAAATGTCTGGGTACCCGATGGCCAGTCTCACTGATATGAGACTGAGCTTCAGACCTGGCAGGAGCACCTTCAGTCACTTCTATTTGATTGTCTATGCCCAGGCCACTTTCACCCTAGACAGTAGAGGGTCCGGCATCAGACCCAGCATAAGATCTAACAGAACAAACTCTAAGATTTGGGCCTGATATAAAGAAAATATAGTGCTTGTCTCATTACACATCCATGTCTTTCCAGAGAACAATGAGCTCTTTCAATTAGGAATTGTGCAGGTCACTGCATTCTCAGTCCTGAGCTTGGGGTCTGGCACATGGCAGGTGCTCAATAAATATTTGGTGACCTGGGATAGCTGGATCAGTCAGGGAGTGAGAGAATGGAGCCAGCTAGACATCTCCTCAGGGGCAGGAGGCTGGCTTGCTTTTTACTTGGAGCTAACTAAAAACCACTCTTACCTCTGGTCAGGATCTGAGACTAGCTTTTACTAGTTGCTATCCAAGACATTCTCTTCAGATAGCTTTGAGAAGCCTCTGTAAAATCCCAGCCTGGCTTATTGTATTGTGGTTATCTGGAAAGTGTCAAAACCAATAGGACCCCTTTGGGGTAAACCAGGAAGGTGTTTGGAGCATCTGGCCACATTTTGGGCCCTTCTAGGAGAGAATCAAAACTCTGATTAAATGGAAACTGTCACACCAGTAAACCTGCCTCGCTGACAGAGATCTGCCACAATGCTGTGAGACGGGTTTGCAGAACAATTTAGAGAAGTGTGAAGAGACCCAGCCCAACTTCCTCATTCTTAGCTGCTAGAAATCTCTGCTGTTCAGGAAATACAAAAAAGAGGAATATACCTTCCACTTATTTAATCTTCTCAGTTTTGCTGTGATAAACAGTGAAGGTGGCCCCAGAGAGAGCCTCAGCCAAGAGGAGAGGCAGCTGCAGGCCTCTCACAGAAGCCCAGCAAACCCCAACCCACCAAACCTCTGCTGAAACTCAGCTTCTGCCAACCCAGAGAGAGAGTGGTGAGTAGTAATGATGAAATGGGCTCTAGAATAAAAACTGCTCTCAAGTCATGACTGTCACTTACTAGCTTGAGCCATTAGAGAGGTGGCTCCAGAGGGTAGCTTGGAGGGGCATTAGCCACCATGCTCTCCATGAGACCCCAAAAGCTACCCCAATGATAGTAATCATCATTATGTGGACAGTTAAAATGCTGAAATGTTCTCGACCTTACATAAAACATGAATATAATTATATTAGAAATTTAGGGTGTTTCTATTATGTGCGATCCAAGTTAACATAGTGTCCTCCCTTGATCCCTTTGCCACACTAAGCCCTACCTATGTCAGTTCTGGAGCTAACACTGGCAGATCACTTCCATTCACTCCTCTGTTAAAACAGTAAAAGCTCTTATAGCTGCTGGGTACTTTCTGTTTGCCGGGAACTGAGCTGAATGTTTTCATGTGAATTATCTTATTTAATCCTCATAACAGTATAAAGTAGCTCTTTACCTCTTTGTGCCTCAGTTTCTCAAGTTCAAGACAGAAATATAACACTTACCTCTTGGGCCTACATTAGGGGTTAAAAAAGATAATATATGTAGAATGCTTGGAACTGGCAGTTGCTCAGTCAATAGTAGTTTTAATGACTATAATGAAGCTGGAGATGAGGAAGTGGAGGAGGAAGAGAAAAAAGATGAGGAGATGAAACTGTGGCTCCCAGGGACAAAGCTCCAGCTCATACCTGGACCCTCCCTCTAGTGCTCATCCGCAGTGCTTTCCCTCAACCACGAGACCCGAAATGTCTCAGCAACGCTGCCAGACATGTTTTCTCATCCACACTCAGTGGAAGCAGAGAGGGCCTGGGAGAGACTTGGGTCTGGCATTGGATGGCCCCAGCCTTGGCTGTCAGCATCTAGTTCCTCTCTTGGCCATGCCCTCTCCTATCAGAGGAGCCTCCAAGTAAGTTCCTACAGGGAGTAAGTAGGAGAGCCAGTCTGGGATAGGCCAGGCCCGGGAGTTCAGAAAGAACCGTAAGGTTAGAGAACATGGGAATGAGGTCTGAGGTTTGAAGGCCAATCATGTAAGGACACAAGAATAATCTGGATGAGAGTAAAGGACTAAAGGAGTGTGTGGTAGGAACTAGTAACTCCCACATCCACTTCCTTCTTCCTCCTTTTAGAAACAGGCCCTTGGAGTCTTACCTGTCACATGGCACTTCAAATGGAGACTACATTCCCCACTCTGCCCTAAAACTGATGGTGACAATAGGAGTAAGTTCTAGACAAGTGGATGTTAATGGAAATGATATGAGCAGACTACAGGTCACATCCTTTTCCTTTCTACCTTCTAATGTGCTGAAACCCAGACCTGGACCTTATGAGGTAGCTTCAGCCATGAAGACAAAGGCAACCCTCTGGGGTTGACAAAGCAACAAGACAGAAGGAGCCTGCGTTTCTAGTTGATGTCATCTAAGCACACCCGCTTACCTCTGGGTTTTTCCTTGAGAATTTTATAAATGTCAATCTTAATTACTTAGTCTCTTGGTTAAAGTCTCTTGGGAATACTCCAGCTGTTACACCAGCCAGTGGGCCACCCAATGCAAGAGCTCCTAGGGCCCTCTGAGGGGCCGTGGGGTTGGTTTTTGAGGTTTAAGAGGAAAGAGTATGAATTTCTTGGGTTCAGGTTCAAAACAGCTGGAGTGGAAGGGAGGTGAGCTTCTCCCATCAGAAAAAGCAGAGAAAGATCCCCTGGTGGACAGTTGGGACCAATTATAGGTCAACAAAAATGGTGTTTCCCAAAGTTCCAGCATGGTGACTATGAAGAATTCATTTCCAGGAAATAACAAGACCCAGCTTCCTGTCCATTGTATCTCAGCTTGTGCACCACTATATGGCCTGACACCCAAAAGAAGTTCAATAAATAGAGACCTGAATACTGAATGAAAGAATAAAGAAACTTACAAAACTTGAGCTTTTCAAACAAGGAACAAGGAACAGTTCCAACAGCAAAGACAAAGAGATGGGCACCACAAAGGAAAGGCAAGCATTGGCTCTGCCTGGCCAATTTCTTCATGGGACAAATCCTCTGAATAGTAAGGGATTGTGAAGGCTCTTTGAAGAATAGGCCTCTTTGAGCATCCCTGGGCCACTTCTCATACTTTAACAAGGAATTGGAAGACATCAAAAAGCCTATGGTTTTCAGAAAAACCAATTTTGAGAGATTGGCCCTGTGCTGTGGAAGATCTCAACTGAAAAATAAAGAAGACACAGTAAATGAAAATGCCTGCTTTCACCATTCATTCATTCAGTAACAAAAATTACTGTGGCTGTACCGAATGTCAGAACCCAACCAAGCACTGGTATTATAGTAGATATCATAGGGGACGGGGTGTGTGGCTCAGTGAATTCTGGTCATAAGGCTTTTCTGGCAAGAGCCTGGACATAGGTGCAAATACCACCCTAGAAACCCTGCCTTCTAGGAAAACGGGTCTGGGAGGTGCTTTGTTTTTAGTCAGAAACTCAGTGTGTATGACAGTGATAATAGTGACCACAGGCAAAATGTGGAACAGTGCCTGATATCAGGTAAAAGTGGTCACAAATCATACTGCTTAGTCGTACACATCAGGAAAGTATCTAAAAAAGGAAAGAGAACTGAAACCCTGGCTGGGTTGTTTAAACAAAATGCTGACTTACTTCTAGATGGGTGCACAGTTTTCCATTTACAGTTCATTTCATAGTTGAGGAAAACAGCATACACATTCAAAGATTATATCAGTCTTCCTTTCTAATTTGTATTTTAGACTCATTTGAGATTTGCAGAAAAGTTACAAAACAGTATGACGAGCTCTCTTTACCCATTCCACTAATATTAATATTTACATGATTATAGAATTATTATCAAGAGTGGAAATTCATACAGGTACATCATTGTTAACTGAACTACAGGCCTTACTGAATTTTGCCATTTTTCCAGAATTGTCCTCTTTTTCTGTTCTAGGATCCTATCCAGGACCCCAGATTGCATTTAGTTGTACTGTCTTATGTCCTCCAGTCTGAAATAGTTTCTCAATCTTTTACAAACTTGACTCTTAGAGTAATAGTCAATTGTTTTGTAGTATGATCCTCCATTTAAGTTTGCCCAATGTTTTCTTATCTGTAGAATCGTGTTATGCATTTTTGGCAAGAATATTAAAAAACTGAATTATGTCCTTTTCATTATTTTAAGGAGTTCATGACATTGTTATGTTTTAGGATCAATTTAGATTGATCACTTGGCTAGGTTAGTGTCTGCCAAGTTTCTCCACTGTAAACCTCTTATCCTTTTTTTTTTTGGAACCAGGGCTCAAACTCAGTACCTCTTATCTTATTTGTAGTTGGAACATATTTTGGGTGCAGCTTTAGACTTTAAGACAAAACTTATCACTTGTAGTTGAGCACACACTTAACCTCTACATGCATTTGATTTCCTTGTGATATACTGCAGCTAGCGTCATTTTGTCACAATAGCTTGACCCCAAACTGTGTTGGAGTCTTAAGTTTTCATGGAACCCAGTAAGTACTCAATGGATATAGGTGGAAAGCTCTACAATGAAACACGGCCACTAAATGCAGTGTATGAGTCTTGTTTGAACCTTGATTTAAACAAATCAATTATAAAAGATTTAAAAGACAATCTAGCAAATTTTAATATAGGCTAAGATGATGAATGATATTAGTAAGTTATTGTCATTTTTTTAGGTGTGACAGTAACTTATTAATTATATTAAAAGTATCTTTTTCCCATAGAAATGAAATATCCATAGTGAAGTATCTTCAGGTAAAGTGATACGGTGACAGAGATTTGCTTAAAACAATCCAGGTAGAAAGTGTGGAGAAAAAATTACACAGAATAATAAATTTTAATCCTTATTTTTAAAATATTTTTATTCATACATATTTGCAGCACATAATGGTTACACGTTTTGTGGAGAGTTGGTACATGTACATAACACATCTTAATTCTTTTTACATCCCCTTCCCCTCCCTCCTCCCTTCAATTCTACATTAATCATTATTGAAGCATATGATATGACATGGAGTTCCATTATATTTTTGTAATTCTATGTATTACTGTAATGCCTAAGATAAAAAGTGAAACTTGTAGATAGAAAAAAAGTTTAGTTAGTTCATTTAGCCTGCCTTATAAAATACTATACTCCCCTATAATTTTTATTCTGCATTTTCTGAAAATCAGTCATCTACAATATCAAGAGCAAAACATCCCATTCTTAGTAGCCAGATGGTTGTTACCTTTGGATTCTCAATCTGCATGACGTTCCTGTCTCAGTGGCTTTTGCTGGGGGACACTTCCATCTCGAAGTGGCTTTTTTCTCAGGCAAACTCTTCAATGAGTTCCTGGAAACAATACATCATTGGAATGTATTTGTAAAGTGTTTTTCCTGGAATTCAAAGTATGATGTCATACATAGTGTGTCTGTACCTTTCTACCTATTTAGCCTGTCTTCAGCAAGTATTCCCCTTTCTTGTTGCTAAGTCCTTTCATTAATCCTTGTAGAGATTTCAGATACCATTTGAACCAGTGTTGGATTAGATAAATCAGTTAGCCTCTTAGAGGCTCAAATTCTTCATTTATAAAATGAGGCTACCATATACCTAGCACACAGGTCACTAGGAGAATTTCACAGGATAGTATGTGTGTTCTTATTCTGTGTATTTGTGCTACACTGAAAGTGCTCAAGAAATAAGACTTTTCTTCCGCAGTGGATAAGCCTGCTCCTGAGAGTCCCAGAACAAAACCCAGTGCTGGCACAGCCCGCCCCTGAAGGTAAGACATAGGCGATGTGACTTGCTGAGTGGCCAAACCACTGCCTCACTTGGTTGTTTTTAGAATACGATACAGAGATAATAAAAGGCAACAATCTCACAAATCTATGCTTTTTGACCTATCAAATATCTCTAAGCCACCACAGATGGTTGTGTAATATGCAACTATGTAGAACAGCAGATAGGCTTCCCAACTCACTTCCTGCCTCTTTCTCGCTGGCCCCCTCCATTACTTTTGTTCTGCTTCCTCTTTTCAATCTTGAGTGTAAATGGAAATTATAGAAATACTGAGTGTTTATGATACAGGTCAAAGTTGATGCGTCTAATAGTGCTTTGTTAACTGGAAAATGTATGTAGAACTTTTATTTCATTGCTTTACTTTTCAGAACAGGAATTACCCTATATGCATCACATACCTTTTGTTAAGATATTTATTTATTTTGTGGTTCTTGTTTCATCGATTGGTTCTGTACACATTCCAGGGCATGAAGGAATTAGTGGTAATTTAGGAAGCCTCCCAGCATGAATGAGATAGACATGATTCTCTTCAGAGATGATTCTCACTCCAAAGCATGCTACCTATTCTTGTACCTAAGAAATGACTTAGCTACAAATTCTTACCTGGCACTCAGTGTGTTCACCCATATGACTTTTGGTTTAGGGATTATACTTGAAACCATGTTGTGTTCCTTTTGTCCTAAGATGTAAGTCTTGTCTCTCCAGAACGGCAGGTACCCAGGCTTCTGATTGAGCCTCAATTTCGACAGCTCTGGAGGATTCTTGGAGGTGCCCTCCAGAACCCTATTGGTGTCTCAGTAGCGATATCACGCTTCCCAACTTGAATTCTGAACCTAAGAAATAAAACCAAAGAGCAAGTAGTTAGAATCTAAAATTTCACACTTATTATTGATAAAGTTTAGGGTGGAAGATCTAACTTATACCTATTGGTAAATGGAACCTCAAATTTAGGAACAACCCAGGCAAGGCTTTGCGAGGCAGGGGTGAACCTCTCTACAGGTCCACAGGCTGCCATGTGGGGCTGCACATAACTTATATTCACAGCAGACCAGCCTGTTCCCTAGAGGTCAAAGTGAGGCACTGGGCCAAACTCTCAGATTTTCTTCCCAAATTCACTAGGCAGAGAAGGAATTCTGCCATGGACCAGTCCTAACCAAGAACTGTTTTTTTCCCTCAATGTCTTCTTGAGACCTATGTTTATAGAGTGACAGTTTCCTTCAAGAGAAACATCTGGTCACCTTCTAATCTATTCTGACAGAGTAACTAAAACACCTCTCTTCCATGCCCTTTCTGGTGTTTACCACAAATTGAAGTTGTGTTCTGGCATTCACACCTCCCACACAGCAGTCACTTCTTCCGTTTACCTAACACCCAACACCTACTCACAGCCAGCTGTAGTCTGAAGGCACACAAGGGATAGCAGCTTGTATCTAGCATTTCCTTTAAAACAGTTGTAAGGATGCAACATGTCCCTCTTTTGTCCTTACATAGCCAATATTCTAGTGGCAACTTCCATATTTTTGGACTTCAGGGTCACTAAGTACACATGGCCCCACAACAATAAATGGAAAGCCTAATCATTGTGTGTCTTTAAAAGTCTGTTCCATTTACATAAGTCATAGCATTAGGTCAACACACAGTTTCATTTTAAACCTTTAATCAGTTATGTAAATACCAAAAGGTTCACCCTGAACTTGTGTGATATTAAGGTTTTTTCTTGTTCTGTAAACTTTCATTTTTGGATTACACATTATTAGGAAGACGGCCAACTCTTCCTTAGCCATCAGTCCTTCTCTGAGCAGTGTGTGTGTGTGTGTGTGTGCGTGTGTGCGCGTGCATGAGCATCCAAGTTTGTGTGTGTGTGTGTGTGTGTGTGTGTGCATGAGCATCCAAGTTTGTGTGCGTGTGTGTGTGATGTCAGCATCCTGGTCCTGCAAATAAAAGTCACCTTTCCTGTTTTCTCAGCAACTTGAATCAATTCCAATTTTCCACTGGTTCCCTTGTTAGTGTTTGGTGTGCATGATTTCCTGGACTGTTCAAAAAACTTCCCACTCTACAGAATTTTCCAAGGCACCCAGGGCGTATTACATGGGGTGGGGGGGTGGGGGTCCTGATTCTTCAGACACCTAGCCTCTTTCTTTGCAGACCTAGCTGCTGGGCAAGTGTTCAAGGGAACCTGGCTGGTAGTCTGAGCTCCCATCCTCTTCCTGATGACACTTGATACTTCCTGCTGTAAAGTATGCAACATCAGTATTTTAATGACTTGCTGCTTTGTCTTTCTCCCTCCCTGATCAGTGAATCCTTCCCAGGCAAAAACTTTGTCCTGTTCTTTTGATCTCTCAATTATCTCCTGACTCCTAGTGGGAGCTCAGTTAATATTTAAGCAAAAACAGAAGGAAGAAAGATATGCCAGGCAGGAAGCAGGTTCCAATATGCCTGAAGAGCAGCACCTCTCGTAGAGAGCTGTGCCCACACATTTTCCCATGCCTCTCTCTCCTTTCCATGTCCATTCAACATCATCCAGGCAGAACATCCATTCCTGGCACACTTCCTAAAGAAGCCACTACACAGGTACACATACACGCATGCAGGCACACACAGTCATTCTCCGTCTCACTTTCCTCATCTTCACAATCTGATATTATTTTGGCTGCTTATTTATAGCTCCCTGAGGGACAACAGCTTCTGGATCTTAAATGATACCTGATAAGCATGAATTGAGTGAATAAATGAAGAAAGAGAGAGGAGGGAAATCTCACCTTTCCATTTTACCCTACGTAATTGACACTTTAAAAATGTACAGCCCTTGGGGCCGGGGATTTAGCTCAGTGGTTCCGCTGCCTGCCTCGCAAGCACAAGGACCCAAGTTTGACCCCCGGTACCAAAAAAAAAAAAAAAAAAATGTAGAGCCCTGGGATCCCTCACAGAGAAAAAGGAAGCTGTTCTATGGTCCTTTGTTGACTTGTTCCACCTTGCCCTTTAACATGCACTGCTGGGCCCAGAAGACAGCATTAGTGGGAGAACAGGGAGGTAGGTAAGAAATGTCTCCAGTCATTGATCCTTCAAGATGAAAGGCCATAAGGAAAGTGGTGACCCTGAGATGTGTAGCCCTCCTAGAGACAGCTCCGTGTTTAATGAAGGGCAGACAGAGCTTCTGACAGGGTGATGGAAGCACATTTTGCACAGATACCCACAGGCAGTAAGCAAAGATGGACGCTTACTTAGGGTCCGTCATTGCCCCTGTGAACAGGAGGCACGATGAGACCCCAGGGACCCAGGGGAGAAGGGTCACACTGTTTGGGTGTGGCAGCTGCCACAAGGTTCAGAGAAGGAGATATGTGGCTGGGGATCACCCCAAAGGATGCTGACCATCTTTTCCTTAGTCAACAGATGGTGTCTCTGATGCTTCTCTGATATTTGAGAAGCACTTTTTTGTCATTTCCTTTCATGTATCCAGATGTTTACCATTTGTCTTTTCTGTCATTAACCCACAATCACTTAATACTGGAAGCATAAAACATTTATGGCTATCCTCTGTAATATTTGTAGGTCACTAAGGGCATTAAACACTTGTTTCCACTGTTAGTGAAACTAAAGCAGAGTTCATAGGTCCATGACAGAGAAATATGAAATGCCTAAACTGACTGACAGAAGCCAAATGCTACAGAAATCCCATGGGCACCTTTCCACCTTCCTCTTTCATCAGTTTCACTGCCTGAAAAAACAACTTCTGGAATGTACTGCTTGAGTCCAACTAACTCAACAAAACAAGATCGAGTATCCTCTGAAGGTGTACAAAACGTATCCCTCCGTAATGAGTAATTGTGAAGCCAGTTCACACTCACACAGCCTTCGGCCTTGATGACTGAGAAGTGATTCATTTGGCTTTCTGACTTGTTAGCCCCTTGTATGTGTTACAAGATGACACTACTACGTGAGCTCATACTCTTTTTTTTAACCTTTGATATTTTTATTGAATTTATCTTTAAGCAGACTGTTTCTCCATTGGGGGAAAACTATTTGGTGGACTGGCAAGGGAGGTGACAGAGTGAGGATGGCATAAAACAACAACACGGCTTCAAGGAGGGACACTCCTCTGCACATTAATATTATAAGTTTTCCTAACTGTGGACAGAGATGCATTTACAAAGATCATGTTGCCTTTGGAGAAAAGGTACCACTCTAAGAAATACAGCGTACATATATGTCTTGGTTTGTTGAAAGGTTTGGGGCCAGTTCTATCTAATCCCATCTGGCCCAGGAACTATTTCATGAAGAAACTTAGTGACCAAGAGTTCCATCCTGGTGGTTTGGGGTACCCTGGACTGTTGGAAGGGGAACTTCCTAAGTGGCATGAGAGAGGCAGAAGGCTGAGCAAAGCCCTGCAGCACAAGTGGTTGTCTTTGGGTCTAGTTAGTTATCACTGTGGCTGTAGCCTGTGAGCAATGCTCCTCATAGGCTCTCTGACTTTATGCACTTAAGCATTCAGCTTCTTCTGTCCTACACCTGCACCAGTGATTTTTGAACATAAACACTTCACTACACATTTACTTCCTAGTAAATATATTATGGGCACTTCCCATGATGAAAGTAATCATTATGTTCGCCAAATATGCACTAATAAAAATTTTTTCAAATTATAAAAAGGATCTACTAAAACCATGGATGGCTCATGTGTAGTTTTCTGGGTTGGGAGGAAGATCCTCAGTGTATGCATGAAGAACAGCAGGAAGCACAGAGTGGGAAGGAGAGGGAGAGCTGAGCGGCAGCTAAAAACATAGAGCTAATTCTTTCAAATATTATCCGGCTCCATACATAGGATTAGGCCTTGTGCCTGTATATAAGTTTTGTTAGTGTGTGATTGTGCGTTCCTGTCCCTGTGGTTCCTTTTAGGGGTGCAGGACAGACATAAAGACCTTACATGTAGAAAAAAAGCAAGAAGAGAAGCTGGATGTGGCTTAGTCCCACACAATCAGGGATAAAGTATGGGTGTCCTGATGTCAGTGGATAAGGGGACTCAGACCTTGCACTCCAGTGGGACAGCTCTGAGGCATGTTCTATGCCAGCACTGTCCAGCAGATACAGGACATGAGTCACATATGTAATTTTACATTTAGTAGTCACACTTTAAAAAGTAAAATGGCACAAATGAAATTGATTTTAATAATATATTTTCTCAACCTCATACCTCTAAATTATCGTCATGTCAACACAGAATCAATATAAAGATTAACAAGGAGATATTTTCACCATTTTGATATTGTGTTAGAAATCAAGTGTATGTTTTACCCTTGGAGCACAGCTTAATTCTGATTTGAACGTTTTGAATCTTTGCTAACCAATGTGGCTAGTAGTTGCCATGTAACTACTTCTTCTCACCAGAGAAGTTTTATACTGTTTGCCAGGTTTCTGATGGGATTGAGCCCAAATTGCCCCCAGTAGCAATCTTTGAATGATATACCGTATCTAGACTTCCTTCCCTCCTTGAACAATTTCTTCACTCTTTTGCCAGTGCTTCCTTGAATAATCTACCAAATTAACTATTTGTTCTTATATCCTGTCTCCAGGTCACGTTCTAGGAACTCAACCTAAAACAGGGCACAAAACCTGTCAGTACTAAGGACAGCTACGTCTCCTATTAGTTATGTTATTCCTTCTGTTATTTTTACATGGAATGAATTCTTACTAAAAGTTATGGTAAACTGTATTCTGTGCTGTGATAGCCTAGGAGAAATCTCTGTCCATTCTTGAGCCCAAATAGCAAAAGAGAGGACATCCCATCCAGAGGCCAAAATGGTAGGAGCAGGAGCCGGGCAACAAAGATAACCGTGCC